TCAGTTTGTTAGTAATTTTGTTAATTTGTTCATTGTTGGGTTAAATAAATAAATTGCTTCTTGTCACTTGTAAAGTGGAGATTAAGGATGTTCTTTCCATTAAATACTCTTTTAATAGTTTGAGGGGAAAGGCAAGCTTCTCTGTGTGTTTAGGGAGTAATTATTAGACGGAAACCTCTGCTCCTGTGATAACAGATCGGGGCTTGTATTTTAGTTTAATTATGAGAGGGGTTTGGCCATTCTATGTTGTAACACATTATGTCAGTTGTCTTTAGTGAGGGATGTCTGCTGGGCGCTGTCCTGTCAGATTCCCAGGAACTGCAGTGATTGGGTCAATGAATTGTCAAAATTAAAAGTTGAACGTGAGCAGCTTGCGGGACTATTTTAGTCAACTATCCATTTCATATCCCAGCTCTCGGTAACGATTCTCATTGCCTGGAGAAGTCACTTGTGTTCCACCTAAAGCTGCCTTTTGTCAGATAAACTTGTGTGTGGGGACAGACAGCGGACGTGAGGCACATGGAGCGGGTATAATCCTGAGGCCTCTGTCATTCACGGAGGTGTGTCTGTGTATCTCCCTCTGTGGGTGGAAATCAGAATGAGTTCCTCAAGGAGGTATTAACACAGTTTTACCATCTCAAACCGAAGCCCCATTTGTGGTCATTTGAGATTACAGGGATAAGCTCATTGCCATTTGCCCTCGAAACATCAGCATGCAAGGCTATGGGCCAAATGCTAAAAACAGGGACTAGAATAGATGGAGGTTTGATAATCTGCGCTGACACGATGGGCCGAATGATTGCCTTCCACGCTGTAAAAACTCGAGGATGGAGAAATTGATCCGCAGTCAAAATGGTCACAAATGAAAATGCAAAAGCAGTGTCATTGCGAAAATGTACCACAACTTCTGCCCCTTTCACTGGTGGTCTAGTGGCTAGGATTTGGCCCTCTCCGCTCCCGGCCCAGCTTTGATTCCTCGTCAGGGAATACATACTCTGCTGTGTTATTTTATCATGGTGACAGCACTTCTAACTGATACTTCAGGAGATGGAAGGTGAACTATTTATTCCCACATGTTACTCAGATTAAAATAAAACAAAGAACAGTGGAAATATAACACAAACAAAGAATTGATATGGAAGCTCAGCAGGTCTGGCAGCATCTGTGTAGAGAAACAGAGTTAACGTATCAGGTCCTGTGACTATTCGTCAGAACCAGGTCAGTTATGCCTTTCTGCAGTGTAATGCTGGGGTAAATTATCGGCTTTATCTGTCAAATCAGCTTATTAAACAAAATTGCTCTCTCTCATTCGCTTACCACTGTCAACTTTACAATTTTAAAGGGATTTCATCGGCTCTAATGTTGCTTCTGTTCCCTTAGGTGGTGAAAGGCTCTGCTTAAATGGTTCCTTTTTCTTTTCCTTTGTGTCAATTAGCAGCCACGTTGAATGGAAAATTGGTTCTTTCACTGTCTACCTCAATTTGTGTCTCTATTTGTCTCTGTGTATCCACCTCACCCTCTTTCACATTCTCCGACCTCCTTCTGTCAGTATCCCTCATTTCCCATTCCTGCTCTGTTTAAAGTCAGAAATTTGAAGATAACTTGAGAGTGGAGCTGCTGGGAGACTTTTTCCTCCTGGCTGGAGTGTTTAGAACTGTGCTCACATTCCCTGGATAATGTGTCTGTCACTTAGGACGGAGATAACGAGACATTTGTTCTCTCAAAAGATTGTGAATCTTTAGAATTGGAAATAAAGTTCCGAATCCATCAGAAAAAAACATCCACAATTATAGGATTATAGTGATGTCTTTCCTGTTGGTGTAAGATGAATGAATGGTGACAGCAGAGAATGAGGGTGATCAGCTCGTCCTGTCTGTGCCATTACCACAACATTCCCTCCTAAATCTGAAGTTTATCCCACCTCACCTCATTATTCCTGCCAAACTGGGAATGAAGGGATGAGAATAGAAGAAAAGGAGAAGCAGACGTGCTTGTCGAACAGCAGAAAGGAACTTCATGATGACTTTGGCAGAAAAAGAGGAGACACTGAAGCAGCCTCCTGATGACAAATGTGTTTTCTTTGCCGGTAAAATTCACCGCTTCACTAAGCGGGAACCATTGAACTGAAGCAGTGACGGTGATTATCTTTGCTGGTTGTTCACCTTGTGTCCACCAAACTATTGCTGCTCATGTCCCTCTCAACACCACAGGGATGACAGTGGAAAAGCATGCTTATTTTCTGACTGACACAGCTTTTGGCCTTTTTTTCACTGGAGTTAAGTTTCTCCTCCAAAATAATCAACTTACTGAGTTTATACAACAGGGAAAGAGACCCATCATCCCAGTTTCCAGCACTTAGCCTGTAGCCCTGTGTGCTCTGCCGTTTCAAGCGTTCATCTCAAAAATTTTTTTTCCCCTGTAACGTTTTAATCTCAAGTGACACAAAGAATGGCACTGAGGTTTGAGATGGTAAAATTGTGTTCACACCCTCTTAGGGAACTGAACCTCATTTTCACCCACAGAGGGAAACACACAGACACATTGCCCCAAGAGTGACAGCGGCTCAGGAGAGACCAACCCCCAGAAAGCAAGGATTTCGCCCATCTGGCTTATATCATCCCAATTTACTCTTCAAAACCAGTGTATGGTTACAACAATGAAAGGAAGAATTCGGCCCCTCCCCTGTCCATGTTTCTCCCCCATTGTTTCCCCGTTACTCTGCATTTTGTTCTGCCCAACTGGAACATTGCTCATGTCAGCTGCTTTCCATCCTCCCGAAGGATCTTCCTCAAGTACCTGGAAGGACAAACAGGAAATTAGTGTTTCAAACGCATTACTGGCTGGGTGAGGAAATGACATGGTGGTGTTAACGCTATTTAATGAGAAATAATTTTGAATGACTTTAAAGAGCTCCTTTGGATGTTGGTTGCAGCAGGTGGTGAAAATTCTCTCACTCCCCAGGAAGAATGCAACTCAAGACCGCAAGGCGAACGACTAAACTGCAAAGTCATGCATTAGAAACTGCAATGTAATAGATTACTGGATCGCCTGTGCATCATACACGAAGACAATGTGACAAATCCAACGCAGAGCCGAGGCAATCGTGTGCAGAAGAATGGGAAATTGTAATGCCAAGTCAAACAGTGTCTAGGGTGATATGAACAGAGATCTACCCTGGTAGTCTAGTGATGAGGATTCAGTGCCTTCACTGCCATGGCCTTTTAATGGTTAACATTTACAGTAATAGATATAAAATACTGACTAATCTTCAGAAGCAGAATTATGTCATGGACCAGTCAGAATCGCTTCACTGCATGTTACAGGTCCACATCAGCAATGTCAGCTGCAATTGCCTGATGTGCAAACAGAGTAAAACAAGAAGAGAGGGGATGTCAGGAAAAGTGAACGGCTATGGTGGTTTGTGAGAGCTGACTGTAGGCCTAATGGAGCCAGGCCCAGTGTGGGTTCTGAAGACTGGTTTTCACTGGTTACCCTGGTATATAATCACTCCAGATCAATCACCCACAATGACTCTCCTTTGTGTGTTGCCCTTTGCACATCTCACCTCGGTTCAGAGCCCAGAGGGGATCCATGCATGTTCACTTGGCAAATTTTGATCAGGTCAGCTTTACAGTCTCGTATTAAGATCATAAACTTTAGGAGCAGAAAGGGACCATCCAGCCCATTCAGTCTGCTCCGCCATTTACTGATCTTATGTCTGATATGATAATTATGAACTGCACTTTCTTGCCTTTCCCCATAACCCTTGATACCTTTACTGATATTAAAAATCTGTTGATCTCACCGTTGAATACACTTAATGACCCAGACCTGACAACAATCTGCTGTAAGGAATTTCACCAATTCATCACCATCTGAGAGAATAAATTTTCCTCATCTGTCTTAAATGTGCGACCCCATTCTGATATAAGGCACTCTGGTGCAAGTTTGCCCAGAAGGAAAACCATTTTCTTGTGTCCAACATATTAAATCTGAAAGAAACCTATATGCTTTAATAAGGAGCAAGTACTGTTTTTATAGTACTGTGTCTGAGCACGTGAAGTCAATGGATTTCAGCACTTCTTCCTGTTTGGTTTCATCCCTGATGTAAAACTTTCACTGATTCTGACAGAGCTATCCCCTTTATGTCTTTTAATGTCAGGAATTCACGTTCATTTTAAGAGTTTCGACAGGAAAAATAAAATCCTCATTCCTATTTCGGAATCAAACCAAGAACACAGCAGTTGCAATGCTGAATCCCAAAAAGGAAAGTGCGCACAATTCTTGCAACTTTTTGTCTTGAAACTGCTTTTGACCTTTCGTTTCAGTTGCAAAACGTTAGTCAGTGAGATTTTAACACCACGGAGAAAGACCCTTCAGCCCATTATATCTGGGCCAGTCATCAAATATCTCACTTCTGAACCCAGTTTCCAGCACTTGGCACTTCACCTCATTTGCTCTGATGTTTCAAGTGCTCATCCAAATATGTAGTCAATGTTTGAGGGCATCAGTGGAACAAAAACACTTTCTTCAACAAACGACAGGAAGCATTGCTGTTTGCTACAATATGAAATCTACATTTTCCTCTTTGAAGACAGTTATGAAAGCCAAACTCTTTCTCAGAGCCGTTTGCCAGTTTTCCTCATGATGCCAACAGTGTAGAATAAAATCCCACACCGCCTGAGGTTACAACTGATGACTCTCGACTTTCAACCTCTCTGCTGACATGAGATGTGGTGTCCCTCAGGTTAAACCACCACCAGTTTTGTCTCTCTAATAAGAAAGCAGCCCGGTGACCCAGAATGTGTATGGCGACTCAGTGTCAGACTTTGTGATATTATATCCCTGGGATGCAAAAGGCACGTTTTATACTTTATAAAATGTATAATACATGTCAGTTGTCCTGGTAAGAAGTAAAGAGAAAGATTGCTTGTACACATTACGACAAATAAAATTCAGTCTTTCCAGTGGTGGGCACTTAACCCAGAATTCCGAGCGCTATGCACTGCATTGCTTATCACTGCGCAGGCTCAGTATGTTCCCGCGTGGCCACGGTCGAGAGCATGCGCAGTGGGAGCGACCCTGGGAAGTCGCTGTTCTTTTCGGCTCCACAAAAGGTAACAATGAGGCGGAACGGAGGAGGCGATAGACCGGGCGGTTAGACGGGGAGGCTTTCTAAACACTTTGTGAATGTGACAGACCCCGTATAAAGAAACTATCTATTCCCTTTCGTAAAATGTCAAAATCGAGGCTCTCTCTCAAAGGCAGGCCGCGGGTAAAGGCCGCCATATTTGTAGGAGTTTAAAGGGCAGCAGGGCGCATATGCGGTTATCCTGGGCCAGCGGAGCGAATGTTGTGAATACCTCTCCTGGACTGACAGGAATGGAGTTTTTACAGGGAGTCAGGAGGGGAGCATTTACACACAGCAAACTCCAAATCAAAGAAATAATTGCTTCTTCTGAAATTGTGTCCCAGACTGACTGAGATGGCTTTTGTAAATTTTTTTACAGCATCTCAGAAGAGGATTTGCAGATCGGAAACACAAACCAAATGATCTAAGCATGCCTTTTTGTTCATTCAGCACTGAATATTATCGGCCTTTAAAGGTAAGTATTGAGTAAAATAAAAGTAGCATAAAATTCCTTCTTACATCTCCCAGTAAGTATTGCCCAATATCTTAAATCTGTGTACCAAACAATTTTACTATCAGTGAAGAGGAACAGCTGCTCTTTATCTATCCGGTTTAAACCGATCATAAACCTAGACACCTTTATCAAATCAGAGATAACAAGAACTCAAATGCTGGAATCTGAGATAACACAGTGTGGAGCTGGAGGAACACAGCAGGCCAGGCAACATTAGAGGAGGAGGAAAGTTGATGTTTTAGGACGGGACCCTTCATCAGATAATTTTCCTGCAGGTCCACACTGTGTTATCACCCCCTTTATCAACTGTCATATCAATCTCCTTTGCACTGTGCAGAACAACTTGAGTTTCTCCAACCTGACCTTAAAACCAGTATCCCTCAGTTCTTTAACCATTCTGATGAATTTCCTTTCGAATCACGTGTCAGACGCTCACATCCTTCATGGAGATCGCCTGTTTGTGCAGACCCAAATGCTGTCTGTTCAAGTGAGTGATGTTATGACACACGGACAATTACTCAGTGACATCACTCTGATTCCTAGGTATCCTGAACTGTGATAGTTTCCTCTGACCCCAGTGCTTTTGATATCTTTTGAGGGGTAGACTCTAGCATTTGATTTTCAAGTTGGAACACAATGAAATTATTTCAGTATTTTTAACCAGTAATCTACACAATTCAGCTTCTCGTGCTGTTCTCGGATATCTGACTCTGGAACTGGAGCTCCTTCCCTTACAGCATTGTGAGAGCTCATGTGGGAAGATAGAGCTGTTAAGGCAGCAGCACATGGTTGGGAGAATTTTGTCACCCCCATAATATCGTATTATGTGACTGATGTTAAAAATTGCTTTATAACACTGCTGAATGAGAGACCATCCATTGTTCTGGTTCATCTCTGCTCTCCTTGATCAACTCTCCGTCATTGTCTAACTTCCACTGTCTTCAATAATGGGTGTGACTGTCCTAGGTATTTTATTGTTACTTCCATTCACTCTCTAAATGAGGTTTATACAGCAGAACATTGCCTGAGCATTTGCTGCTGGCAATTATATTTCCTTAGTAGCTCCCACAATGCTGTTCGGTGAGGAGTTATTCACCAAGTGGTGATGAAGGAACTGTGATATGTGTCCAAATCAATGACAATTAATTTATATCAATGTAGTGTCTTTCACAGAATGGAAACTTCCAAGCTGTTCCTCGGGAGTATTATAATGCAACGTTTGACCAGAATCACATAATAAGATGTTAGGGAGGTGACAAAATGTTTTATGGTCAGATTTGTTGTTTTGAAGGAGTATTTTAAAGTGCAAAACTGAGGCAGAGAAAGGGAGAGGTTTAGTAAGGAAATTTCACAGTTTGTGGCCTTGGCAGCTAAAGCTTGAGGGCGCCAAATGTGAAACAGTTAAAATCAAGAATTTTCAGGAGGTTGGAATTGGAGATAATGCAGATATCTGGAAGGACATCTTTTTTAAAAAGGTCATTCTTGGGGTAGGGGTGGCCATTACTGGCCATTTACTGACCAGCCCTAATTGCCCTTGAGAGGGCTGGAGGCTGGAGGACATTACAGAGCGAGATAGAGAGGAGACGATCAAGAGATTTGAACAAAAGGATGAAAAGTTTAAAATTTAGCTGCGTGAGCATGGGCCAGCTGGTGAACAAACCCTGTTGTGAACACTCATGAGGGCAGCAGAGTTTTGGATGGCCTCAGGATGACATCACCTGATGAGTAACCTATAACTCCTTCCCTCACAGCATTGTGAGAGCTGATGTGGGAAGATAAAGCTGTTAAGACAGCAGCACATGGTTGGAAGAATGAGCAATGGTAAAAATCTCATTTAGATACAGTCAATGGAAGGAAGAAAAAAGCACTAAACAGAGCTCAAGGGCACCCAAAAATAGAGGCAGAGAAGTAAGACAAGTGCAGAGACAGGAATGTGAGAGGGTGGTGAGGAATGCGTAAGGATAGTTAAGTCCAGAGGTAACAAAGGAATGGACGAGAGTTTCAGCAGCAAATGAGCAGAGACTAGGAGGAGTCGGGTAATGTTACTGTGGTGGAAGTAGGCAGTCTTGATGATGGTAGGGATATGTGGTTGAAAACTCATCTCTGGATGAAATATTTCACCATGGTTATGACTTATTTGGTTCAGACTCCAGCAGTTGCCACAGAGGGTTTAGAGTCAGTTGTGAGGCAGTAGAGTTTGCGTTGGGGAATGAAGATAAAGGCCTCGGTTTTGCCAGTTAGTTAATGGGAGGAAATTTCTACTCCACCAGGACTGGATGTCAGCAAAGTTTGGATGGTGTGTGACCTGGAGGGAACTTGGAGGTGGTGGTGTTCACATCCACCTGTTACCCTGCCCCTTCTCAGTGGTGGAGGCTGAGTGTTTAAAAGATTCTGACAGAGTTCTGGTCAAGTTGTAGGTGTCCAAAATCCCCCTCCTTCATTCTCGATCTCCACACAGAAGCCAATGTCTTTAGAGATTGTCTCTGTCTCTGACTGCATTGTTTTTTGTTTGATGTCAATTTCACAAGATATTAGAAGGAGAAGATTTTCAAACGCACCATCACACCAGGATCTGATGGAGTCGCTCATTTTATCACAAATGGAACATGATCAGATTTTAAACCTGGAAGGAAAAAGCTCCATTCACACTGGAGAGAAACTGTATAGGTGTTGTGTGTGTGGACAAGGCTTCAGCGAATCATCAGACCTCACAAACCACAAATGCAGTCACACTGGGGTGAAACTGTGGAAATGTGGGGATTGTGGGGAGGAATTCACTTCCGCATCTGAGCTGGAAACTCATCGACGCAGTCACACCAGTAACAAGCCATTTACCTGCTCAGTGTGTAGGGAGGGATTCACTCAGTCATCTAGCCTGCTGGAACGCCAGCTCATTCACACTGACAAGAGACCATTTCAAAGCCCAGACTGTGGAAAATGCTTCAGAACATCCCGGAACCTGATGTCCCATCAACTAGCTCGCATTAATGAGAGACCTTTTAAATGCCAAGACTGTGGAAAATGTAATAAA